GTAAAACAGATACTCTTGACACTTCAGCCTCAGTACTCCACAAAAAATAAATAAATAAATAAATAAATAAATAAATAAAGAGAACAGAACTTTTCTCTATCCACACATATTGCAAAATTTCTCCTCTGCCTGGGGAGCTCGCTGTTCAGGCAGCTTTATTTGAGTGCATTCTTGTGTTTATCCTTTTGTTGTCATATACAATAGACCAAATTGACAAGCCTGACTGACATCTGTATGGCTTTCATATACACAGCAGCAACATGAATGAGGTAAAGTGGCCTCTTGGGGGACTGTTGGAACTCTTGTTCATTATCATTATCACCATGATGATTGGTGCAGATGATGAGACTCCCAGCCGTCCCATCCTTGAGCTCTGCAGCCCTTCACACAGCGTGGTGCTGCAAACACTGCTAGGAGCCATCACTTTCCCTGGCACCCCGTGCTGTACCGCTCTCCCTGCTCCACACAGGACACCCAGGCTGAGCAGAAGGTGGATGATGTGTTCCAGGCACCAGCACGAATCCAAGCCAAGCCATGATTCAGGCCCACTACCCCAGCCTGATGTGGCTGGGGAGAATTCAGCAAGCTCACAGCTGCCTTTTGGCATTGTAACACTGGCCCACTTCACCACGGTGAAGCATGAAGAGAAACTCTCAGTTACCAGACCAATAAGTGCCAAACTGCTTTGCCTCTTCAATAAAATGTCTCTGGCTTTTATTTTTCACAACACAGAAAGCTTTATCAGCATTCACACCAACTGAAATTCAAGTAGAAAAGTGGGACAGATAAAAAAAAATCAGTGAAAATCTCTTTTCTTTTCCAAACTGTTTTTCCTAGTTTTTACATTATACTGGTATCACTGCAACTGTATTCATGAAGGAGGAAACAGTAATTTCATTGTTAACCTCAAAATTATTTCATGAGGGTTCGGTGAGATGGGTATGTTAAAGCAGTTAAAGAAACTGTAATGAAAATGTGGTGCCATTTTCATGACTTACGCCTTTACAAGACTTTGGGTAACTACTGCTAAAGGTTAATATGCTTTATATGAATCTGCAGGTATCTGTCAGACACCAAAAGCAGTCTGGGGAAGAAATGCTCCGTGGCAGAGACATCTGCTGGGAGCTCCTTGCACTCCTCCCACGCCTCATGGTTCAGCTTTTTGGGGTTGTGGATCCTAGGAGAAGCCTTGTGCTGCTCCTGCTGCCTCCAGCTGGGGAGTGAGTTTGTGGCTAATGGAGAATTCAGCACACCCCTGCTCAGCCATGGCCAGTCAGCCACTCAAAAGGTATGCTGGAATTTTAATGGAAACTTTTGCATCTAAATTAAAGGCTATGCTTCTCTATCCAGCTGCCTAACATTGAACTGTCTGTCAGAGGAAGGCTGCTGAAATTCTTCCCTTTCCCAAGGAGCAGGACATAGACAGCAGGAGAAGATCAGTGTTATAATTAGGGAAAGGAACTATCAGGGACCTCTGCAATTCTGACAACACACTAAGGCGCTGTTGTCTAAGTTCAAAACTGAAAATGAGGTTTCAGATTTTAGCATCTTCTAAATTCCTAGCATCAACCATCTCCCTTCTCAGAGAGATAGTGATTCTATTCTCCACCTACAAAGTGGATCTCAATCCCTCCTTCCCTTCCTCCTTCATAGTGGGAAAACATGGACTGATCCTCCTGGGTTGATGGGATCACATTATGCGTTGAGCATATCCCAGCATCCTGAGTTTCAGTTTTAGACACTGGCTTTAAAATGATTGAGACAATGCAGAAAGCACTCACCCAGTAAACCCTAGAAATACAAAACCATGTTTTTTTACATCAGCAGAAAAGAGGATGCTTTGCAAACTCAATTGCCTTTTCTCCAAATGCAAAGCATCCTGCAAATGAAAACAAGCTGTATTTGATTCCACGCACACCGAATGCTTGAACTGTGTTTAGCACATCACAGGTGTAGGGTTTGAGTGATAATCCCCAGTGTAGCAGGATTTTTCCTGCAGACATCAGTTCACATCTGATGGGAGACTGTTTTAAAACCAGCCTCTGCTCTTACAATGTAAGAACAACTCTCTCCCTCAAGCTACTTGCAGGCAAAAACATGTTTACCTCCACCTATCAAAGCACCAGGGGAAAAGAACAGCCCCTTGAAGGAAATTAATCCCTGAAAAGTGTTTGAAATGTTATAAATAGCTTACTACCAGAGTGAACAGATGCACTAAGAAGGATAAACAAGCATTTGCCCAGCCCCTCGGAGGGAGTTGGCCTCAGAGGCAGGCAGGTGTCGGGGTCCCGGTGTGTGGTGGCCAAGGGCCACTTGATGTGGCCCATCCCAGGTATCCAAGGCAAGCAGCTCAGGACTAGCAGCCCCTGGCACCTCATGCACCCTCACTCAAGGGCATCCAAAAAAGCTTTATCACAGCTTTTGCAAAGCAGTTGTGCAGGTCTGAATTTGCACTGCCCACCCTCAGGTGACGGTGCTCACCACGGAGGATGTGCCTTGCTTACAGGGAAGTGGCAAAAGCATTCCAGGAAAACAAAGGCCAGCCTTCCAGTGTCTGCCCCAAACACATTTTTGCTTTCCCCGTGAGGCACTCTATGGAGCAGGAGTTACCCATATCTTTTTCTCCCAAACAAATAGGCCTCTCCCTCTACTGCCCAATGAATATTGAAATATTCTGTGCAAAACCAAGCTGTCTTCTCCAGAAACACTGAATGTTCCCTGATGTTCCTGAACAACACATTCCTGAGTGTAGCACTCGCTCAGATAATGGAGGAAAATGTACACAGGCCTCCCTCACAAACAAGAGTAGTTAAAAAAAGGTGATACAGAAGACACAGTGGTAATGCCCAATTACCATTACAAGGGCAAGATCACTAGGGTTAGTTCTGCCTGTTGTGCAGATGCAAGACAAGTCTGGCATCACTGTGCAGAGTCCACGCATATCCATGAGCAGGTCCTAGTAGGTCATGGAGAAGATGTGGAGAGAAAGAATTAGGCATTTCTGGACTTCTAAGCATATCTGCTGAAGACCATGTGTTCCCTTGAAATGACTACAGAATACGTGTGGTGGACTGAGCCTTCAAACCTTGCAGCAGCCCAAACCAGCGACAGGGGAGCCAGTGGCTTCTGCAGAAGCTTCTGGCATGGCAGAGCTTTGCTGCAGGGCAGAAAGCCTGCTGAGATGCTCCCCTTGACTTGACTCCCAGGCAGGTGGCCTGTGCTGTGTAATCCTGCAGGGAACAGCCAAGCCTCCAGGGAGTCAGTCAGGTGGGGAGGCTTTGATTGACACACTGAATTCATTAAGCTGCTTTGCTAAGGAGAAATAGGGAAATAGGAAAGGGCATTTGAGTTCTGTCCTCGGGCAGGTATGGTAACAAGTGATCCTCAAGTCTTTTAAAGGTTTAACCTCAAGGACAAAAACCAAAGCCTGGCTTCTGCTCCAAAAAAGGAAGAAATCTCTGAAATGAGGGGCTTGTATCAGTATTTCTTAAAAACACATCCCTACATATCAGAAGTCTGCAGTGTCATATTTCAGATGGTCCTTATGTATTAAAAAATACCTGCTATTAAATATCAAAATTATGAGCAAAATACAGTTTGATCATACGCCCTGTGTGTGCTAAACCTGTTTTTCTGCTCATCATCCACTGACAGCGGCATAAAACACAAAGTGCCTGCTCACGAGTTATAAGGATGAAAAAATACTGTAAACAACAATTACGAGTTTCCCCCCACTTACAAATGAGCACAATTACCGTGGTCCCACTTTATGAAACTTTATTAAAGTATGCAAAAGAAATTAAGTTACCTAAATAATTAGAAAACAGCCAGATCATGAGTCATTAAGGAGGCTGAATGGTTCAACTTTCTCTTCCCTTTCCAAAGAGTTTCCACCTTCTCATACTGAGAATGAAGCACATCACTATATGTTAACCATAAGTGGAGGACAAATACGTTTTTCACTATTAAGGTAAAGTGGTTCCACTTTTTTTGCATATAGAAGAAGCTTTTAAGAAGTGAGCTACTGGGAATTACTTTTGGGTTATGTATCTTTCCATCACTTAGGAGAAACAGAGATGCTGGAGATGATAACTACAATAGGATTTAGTCTACTTTTCTTCCACTATGCAATAGTGCACATATTTTCTTCCACTATGCAATTTGCTACCATCTACTCATTTATGGATATTTTCTATTTAAAAAGCTTCTAGCTTGGACTTCTGCCTGAAACAGAAGCCTGCTCTGCAAGAACCTGAAAATCCATTACTCCTTATGAGAGTGGAGTGGAGCAGAGCAGAGGAGAGGGACAACTGATGAGAAGCAAACCCATAGAGTACTTCACAGTGCATTTCTTAGAGCAGTTACCAATTGTGCCCCTCCAGGATAGATTTGAGGGGCAGGTTTCGCCTGCATTCTCCTCACTTGTCTAAATGCCAGGTGGGCAAGAAGGAAATCTCCCCTCACCATTAATAAGAGAACTAGGTAACTTGTAGCCAGTGAACTGTGATTGGTTTGCTGAAATACATATTTATTGTAAAGTTTTGAGAATCGGTGTGCTTGATCTGTGGAAAGCTGCCTTGCAACCTGCACAGAATAAACAATGTCTCCTTTCAGAATCTGGCTCTTGTCCGTGCAAAAGACACCGAAACCCTTGCAGAGGAGGGAACTCGGTACTTTCTAGCTGAAGACCGAGGTGGGGATAAAGAAAGATGCTCTGCTTCGGCACTGCCACAGCAGCGGTCTCTGACGCCTCATGCCGGCGGGAGGCCGCAGAGCAGCATGGCGCCAGGGCTCCGGACTACCGCTCCCAGCAGCCATCGCGACCACCCCGCCCGGGCCTGCGCATGCGCCCCTAAGAGGGCACGCACCGCCTCCACTGCTAACGGTACCGCGCCTCCCCGCCCATTGGCTGGTACCCGCCGGAACCGGCCGCGCCGCGATGCGCACAGGGAGTTGTGGTTTCTTTGCCCCCAGCAGCTGGTGAGGTGAGCGAGGTGGACGGGATACGTGTACTACCGTTCCCGGCGTGCCCCGCGCGGCCCGGAAAGAGCCGTCAGCAGCTGGAGCCGCAGGCAGACATGGCGGGGCAGATGGCTGTGCTGGGTGAGGCGGTGGTGTGGCTGGGCTGTGGGTTTTGCGGGGCTTTACTTCCTCTCTCGCGTCTTTCTGCCGCCAGTGTCGCCCCGGGTTTGCTCTCCAGGGTGGCACGAGTTCTGTGTCTTCCGCTGTGTCCAGGTCTGGGCTTCTCTACGGGAGAGACATGCAACTCCTGGAGCGGGTCTAGCGGAGGGCAGCAAAGACGATGAGGGCACTGGACCTTTTAGAAGCAAAGGCTGAGGGAGCTGGGGCTGTTTAGCCTTGAGAAGAGACGAGTGAGAGGGAAGCTCATCAGTGTCTGCAGGGAGGGGTCAGAGCATGGACCAGGCTCTGCTCAGTGGTGCCCAGCAATGGGACAAGATGGAACTGGTGCACAGAAAGTTCCTTCTGAACATGAGGAAGAACTTCTTCACTGTGCAGTGACCAAACCCTGGAACCGATCATCCAGGGAGGGCGTGGAGTCTCCCTCACTGGAAGTATTCCAGAACCATCTGGATGCAATCCTGTGCTCTGGGATGATCCTGCTTGAGCAGGGAAGTTGGACCAGATTGTTGTCCCTTCCAACCTGACCCACTGTGGGATTCCTTGAAAGCCAAAGTGCTCAGTGACACATTGCTCAGAAATGCCTGGGAAGATTTGCAGCCCAGAGCAAGCCAGGGCTTTCCAACCAGTCTGTTTGAAGCACTGCTGTGACCACCCTTCCCTGCTGGGGGAAAAAAGAGGTCACCCAGTCTTTGAAATTTAACTTATTTGCATGTCTTGTTGAGATTTTGTTTGTTGGAGCATTTTTTTGGTAATCATCTGAGGTTATTACTTGATGCTAGACTTTTGGGTTTCCTGTGTCTGATGATTATAAGTAAAATTAAAAGAAAATCAGCCAAACAATGAATTCTTCTGCACATAAAGTGGTCTTCCCTTGGGTTTCAAGGTACAGAAAAGATTCAGAGGTGTGGGGAGATGCTTTTTTTGGAGCTATGGCTGAAACAGAATGAGTTAGTATGAGAGAGGGTTTCTCTCCCCTTATTTTTGGACTTCTGGTGAAGATGGAGGTGTTAGAATTGGGAGTTTGTCATTTAACTGTGATTTTGGACAGTCCTATTAACTCAGTGTCCTTTAGGGTCATTTATAGACAACTCCTCCAGAAGTACTAATTAGCCTGTGTTATTGCAGTAACATGCAGAGAGAAATAGAATTATTACAGTGTGGTGATATTGTTGGCTTGGCCATCTCTTGGGCTTTTTTTCCTCAATCAGTTTAATATTTAATGCCTAAAAATCTCTCTGTTGAGAAGGAAATTAAAAACTAATTAGGTAGCTAAACAGGCTCCAGGGTGTGAAATAAAGCTGCAGGAGGTGCAATGTGTCACACCGTGTCGTTTGCATTGACTTGTAGGTTTGCAGAGTTGATCCCCTAACCCTGCTGTTCACTGTTCCATGTTTCAGGCTCTGCTGTGCTGGCCCTGCTCTTAGCCAGCTACCTGGCACAACAGTATCTGCCCTTGCCCACCCCCAGAGTGATTGGGATCGACCTCGGCACCACCTACTGCTCTGTTGCTGTCTTCCTGCCTGGAAGTGGGGATGTGAAGGTCATTGCAGATGAGAAGGGGCACAACAGCATTCCCAGTGTCGTCTCCTTCACAGACACAGGGGTGCATGTGGGCTATGAGGGCCTGGAACTGGCCGATGCCAATCCTCAGAACACCATATATGATGCCAAGAGATTCATTGGGAAAATCTTCACTAAAGAAGAGCTGCAAAGTGAAAGCAGCAGGTATTCCTTTAAGGTAAGCAGTCAGTGCCTTCAGTTGCCTCCAAGCAGTGAGGTGCAGGATGCAATCCAGGCTGGACATGAGCAGCCCCAGAGCAGCCCTGGGAGAAGGACTTGGGGGTGCTGGTGATGAGAGGCTGGACATGCCCCGGCCGTGTGCGCTGGGAGCCCAGGAACCCCCCGTGTGCTGGGCTGCATCCAGAGCCCCGTGGGCAGCAGGGCAGGGAGGGGATTCTGCCCCTCTGCCCCTCTCTGCTCAGACCCCACCTGCAGGGCTGCATCCAGCCCTGGGCTCCCAGCACAGGAAGGACAGGGAGCTGCTGGAGCCGGGCCAGAGGAGACACCAAGGGGATCAGAGGGATGGAACAGCTCTGCTGTGAGGAGAAGCAGAGACAATTGAGATTGGCTTGGGATTGGAGAAGGCTTTGGGGTGAACGAATTGTGGTCTTCCAGCACTGGAAGGGAGTTTACAAAAAAGATGGAGGGAGATTATTTACAGGGACCTGGAGTGACAGAACAAGGAGGAATGGCTTCAAACTGATAGAGGGTAGGTTTAGATTAGAGATTATGAAAAATGTTCTTTACTGTGAGGTTGGTGAGACACTGGCACAGGTTGCCCAGAGAAGCTGGAGATGCCCCATCCCCAGAAGTGTTGAAGGCCAGGTTTGATGGGGCTCTGAGCAACCTGATCTAGTGGAAAGTGCCTATGGCAGGGGGTTGGAAGGAGATGAGCTATAAGGTCCCTCCAACCCAATTCTATGACACCTGAAATGTGGTTGATCATCTTGTCAGACCTTGAGTCATTTGGCTTAATCTGATGTACCTGAAAACTGAAGAAAATGGTTGTGGAAGTTGTGTACCTCTGCATGAGAGCTGATAATGATTTTCCAGAAGACCCTGTGTTTTCCTATTCAGAAATGTTTTTCTGGGTAACCTTCCAGTCCTTTCTTTGAAAGGATAAATTTCAATTTGAAATGCTAATTGTGCTTTGCTGAAACTTAGTTCTCCCTGAAATTGTAAAATAAAAACACAAACAAAAATCAACAAACCGCTCCCCAAAATAGCGCAACAAACCAAAACCCAAAAAAGTTTTAAAGTCACATCTTCTCTGTCCCATTGTGTTTTTTCCTTCAGCACTTTACTACTTACTTGACCATCAGCAGAACTTGAAAGTTACTTTTAAAAAAACTAGCTTGCATTATATGAGCATGGCTCAGAATTGACTGGAAAAATAAAAAACAAAAAAATGTGTACTGCAAGTGGTCTTTGAAGTCTTTTTAATTTTTTAATATTATTAAGAGAAGCAGTTTCATGACCAAGCTGTTTGTTTCCTCTCAAAAACCTGAAAGGTAACCTAATGACTAAAAAAAGCTTCCCTTTTGTCTTTGAATGTGGAAGTTGATTGCACAGTATCTAGGTCTTAACTTTTTTAAATGTGTTTTACTGGGGCACAGTGGGTGTGATTTTTTGGATATACTTTGACCCCTTAAGTGGCATGTTTTGCATAATCCTAATCAAGGAATAAAAGTGATCCAGAAATGCCAAAAGCACGTTTGAACTTTTCCAGAATGAAGAGACTACATGCAAATAAACATTTAGTGGGAACAGGGTAAGGGAGTACAGGAAGATTTCTCACTTGAGGGTTGTGTCACTTTATCCTTCTAGGTTGTCAACAACAAAGGATTAGCTGAATTTTCTGTGACAACTAATGAAACCTTTCGCATCACTCCAGAGCGCATTGGCTCTAAGCTGTTGCTGAAACTGAAGAAAATGGCAGAAGCCAACCTTGGCATGTCCATTTCCAAGGCAGTCATCTCCGTGCCAGCAGAGTTTGATGAAAGGCAGCGGAATTCTACCATTAAGGCAGCTAACCTTGCAGGTGATGTCTCTCTATGCCAGAGTTTATCTTGGAGACCTTGTGGTCTATTTCACTAACAGTAAGGCCTGTGTGAAGGATATAGAAACAGTGAATCAGTGACAGAGAAGCTTAGAATGGATTTATTGTGAGTAACAGCTGAGAAGTTCTGAGTACCAACAGGTCTAGCTGGCTAATGTGGACATAGATGGCTGAAAGTAAGTTTTATTTCAGGGAAAATAGTCTTTTTTATAATCTCCAAATAGGGAGACTCTATAGCACCCTTGGACAATCATTTAAGCAGAATTAGAATGCATGATATAAATCTCCTTAGCAAGGTTTCTCTGGAAGCAGTGTGTTTGGGCACATTATGGTTCGTGATTTCACCCTGATGCTGAAGCAGTACTATTTTAGGATTAAGTAAAGGGTTCACTGGAGATTACTGCTTATGAAACTACTTCCTTTAGATCTGACACTTAAAAAAACCCAAAAAGTATTGGCAAATGTCATTCTGATCTAAGAACTGTAGTTTTCTGAGGTGTACCTGAGTGTTACTTGTTGTCTCTGCTCTTCATAGGGCTCAACGTTTTGCGAGTAATCAATGAGCCCACGGCTGCTGCTATGGCTTATGGGCTCCACAAAGCTGATGTGTTTAATGTTCTGGTGGTGGATTTGGGTGGAGGAACTTTGGACGTGTCTCTGTTGAACAAGATGGGAGGGATGTTTGTCACACGAGCCATGGCAGGTAAGATAAATGCTTTTGTTTCTCAAGGGGTTCAAGGGAGGCAAGTGCAACCCCTTGAAGTTGGAGGGACTTTTTAAAACATACCAACCATGTCACAGAGTGTTTTCCTAATGCATTCTCAGCCGATTTTCATGCAAAATTAGGTTTGTGGCTGGTTTCAGCAATTAAGACCAGAGTCATAGGTTTTGGCTGACCCAGAGGGGTAAGTTGTGGTTTCATTTTATCCATGTCTGTTAACTTTTGCACCCATTAATAAAGTGCAGGTGCATGTTACAGTTACTTTGACTGGACTTTTGCAGAGCTGGAGTTGTTTAAAATCTTTCTGTCACCTTTGCCCAAACTGGGAATATAGTCAGATCACTAACCAGTGCTTTGGTGTGTCTTTGTCTTGTGTTTGCTGCCAGTTCAGTTGAGCTGGGTTTGGGAATGCATGGGCTGTTAACTCACAAGTTTTGTGATTGTTGTATGAATGATTCGTCCGTGGGCACAGAGCTCTGGCAGCAGTGTTTGGTGAAGAGACACATGCTTCAGCTGGCCTGCATGCACACATGGCTCTGTGCAGTGCCAGCTGCCTGTGTTGCTTTCAACAAGTAAGTCCTAATGTGAGCTGGTGCTGTTCAGTCCAGTTAGAGTGAAACAGCAAGAAAGATTCAGCAGCTTCACTCTGATTTAGACAGAGGTCCACTGAGTGAGTTCTGTTTTCAGTCAAAACAAAACAGTGGAAATCATTACCCATCATGTATGCAGTGGACAACAATTTTGTCTGTTGTCACAGCTCCGTGAGCTCATGTGCTTGTGGTCCTTCTGTGACTGTTCTGGCCCTTGAGCACCATCCCTGAGTGAAAGAGAAGTGTGCTGTTTTCTGGGGCTTTCAAGGTGCTCTGTCTGATGCCTTCTATTCTGATCTTTCAGGTAACAACAAGCTTGGAGGACAGGATTTCAATCAGAGGTTGATGGTGTATTTATATGATCAGCTCCGCCAAACGTATGGTTCTCTGCCAGCACAAAAAGAGGAGGTTCACCGCCTCAGGCAGGCCGTGGAAGCTGTTAAATTAAACCTGACTGTCCATGAGGCAGCTACACTGAGAGTGCTGTTGACTCTGCCAGCAAACAAGCTTACAAGAGGACTTGCAAAAAGCCGGGTAAAAACAAACAGTGCGCTACAAGGTGAGGTTTCACAAGACACAAAAGGCCTGAAAAATCTTGGAGACACTTCCAAAGTAGAGGATGACTTTGTCGAAGTTGTGTTTGAAACGGAAATCTCTCGGAAGCTGTTTGAGACATTAAATGAGGACCTTTTTGAGAAGATTCTTGTGCCCATTGAACAAGTGTTGAAGGAAGGGCACGTGCACAAAGCGGAAGTGGATGAAATTGTGTTAGTTGGAGGCTCCACACGGATTCCCAAAATACGTGAGGTTATTCGGGACTTCTTTGGAAAGGAGCCCAACACCTCTGTAGATCCTGACCTGGCAGTTGTGATGGGCGTAGCCATCCAAGCAGGAATTCTTGCCGGGTCCTGGCCTCTCCAAGTCAGTGCTATAGAAATTCCTAACAAGCATTTACGGAAGACTAATTTTAACTGAAAAGAAACTCTTCTCAGTTGCATTCCAGCTCTCCAGAAGGATCCATACTTATCTGACTGGCAACAGAACTTAATGTTAGCTGCATTCTATTAAATTTTCACCTGTTCCAGTTAGATGTTACTGGGCACTTACCTGTGCTAAAGCTTGGTGTTACTTTAAAGGTACAAACAAGTTCTGAAGTGTGTTGTGTTTACTTGGAGATGGGATATTGGATGAAAATGCCAGTGATGACACACATTTTCTTGCTAAATTTTATTAGCAAGTCCTGGAGCAGTGTGTATTTAAAGTATAAAGGGAGTGTGACCAAAGGTTTGAGATGATGTGGTACTAAGGTATTCCTGGGTCCAGTGTATTTTCTTGGAAGGACTGTGAAGCAGCCTTAATGCACAGGCAGTGTTCAGTTTACACTTATTTATTAGATTGAGCCATTTGAGGATTTAAGCACCTTTCCTAAAGGCATCTTGCAGATTAAGTGAAACTGAGGCATTCACTTGATTCTTCTGCTGTTCATAACAGCATAGTGGTATTGCTGATGCTCTGTGGCAAACAGTCCCATGATTAGGAAACCTTACTGAAAACGTAGCTCTTGCCAGTGCAATTTCTTGGTCTCCAAGGGCTTCATTCCTGACCTGGCTGTGATGGTTAAACACAGGTGCTGCTGTTTTACCACTGGCATTCTCCACAGAGAATGAGGGTATGTTGCCAAATATTCATACCTGCCCCTGCCTTATTTTAAAACTACAGAGATTTTATGTTTCTTGAAGCCACACCTGCCTGTCTTCCCTTGCATTTGACCAACAAGAATTTCATTGTTCTGCATTTACAAGCGTGTGACATCTTCTCCATGAAGTACCCCAAGCCATACTGTCCTTGGGGAGAAAGTGTGGGACAGAAGGGTTGAAATGTAGTTCCTGTAGCCCTAGTAAATGAAAATTGACCCAGCTACTTCCTGCTTTTCAGCTCTTATGTGGTTTAAGTTTTGTCATATCCCCCTCTAAACTGAGCAGAAGTTGTAGCTGTCCTATTGGGAAAGGAGCAGTGTTGTGTAACTCGGGGTTTGAGGTGGCACTTCCTAGGACTCTGTTTTAGGCAAACAGGTTGTTATGCAGATATCTTGAAAATGTGTGAGAAGAACAAAGTTACTGACCTGAAAAAAAACTGAATTGGTGACAGTTCTCTCTCTGGAGGGATTAAGCAATAATCAAACACCAGCTGAATTATATTATCTGCTTGTAACTTCCTACCAAAAAAACATATAATTCAGCTAAGACTGGTTTCAGCATCCATCAGCCCAGTCTTCATCAGGTAAGCTCTAATAACAGGTGGTTTTAAGGATTTTCTTGTCTTCTCCAGAATAATTTTGCATTAACCTTGCTAAGATAAAGTGTGGGGCTTAGATTTATTGTTTTAACCTATGACTATATTAAAATAGGCTTATTACTCTCCTGGCAGTAGGCCTGATTTATGGCACTGCCATAAATCAGTTGTGCTGATTCAGCTGTTTGCATAGCTATTGTCCAAATGCATCTTTGAAGTAATCCAATTAAAAACCTCTTAAATTGAATCATAGTTGCACACAGCCATTCCATCAGCATTGTTTAACTTGACAGAGGATTCCCAAAGTACTGCTGACATCTGTTGAATTTTCCTGAGTTGAAAACCAAAGTTATTTTTTTATTTGAGGATTCTTCTTTTCCTTTGTGCCTCTTTGAAAGTGACCCCAACTAAGTCTGTATGGAACTTGCAGTAAGTAAAAGTCTTGCAGTGAGAGAAGTGCCTCTTCAGTGACACCATGGATGAATGCCACTATGCAGTAGAGTCCTCAGTTGCTGTTGGGGGCATTTGCTTTGCAATATAAATGTATGTGTTCAACATCTGTACCAGTGTCTTTAGAGTCACTGTGGCCTTTCCTTCTGCCCTGCTGTGAGTTCATCCCAAAATCCACTGGAGTTACGGTAGGGCTTTGGTCTTCATGCCTTTAATGTGCTGTGTAAAACAAGCAGACCGATATAGAAACAACCACATCACAGTGAAGTTAAATGATTAAAAGCTTTTGCAGTTTTGGAACAAGTTAGGTAGGAGATGTCTCAAAGCAAATAAATTAAGTACTTTTTTCTTTCACATCCTCCTTTAGCCTGGGGGAGTTAAATCTCCTTCAGTGTTAATCTGGGAACTGGAAGTGCAGGTTGTTTACTTGTAAAAAATAAATTCACAAAAGGGTATTTATTCAGATTTCTATACAGGCTGGATTTTTTAGTAGAGAAGTTACTGTACACTGGATATCACAATGCATCCTTATTTATTAAATTTTCTGAATTATTTATTTTGTGTCTTTTAATACTGTATTTTGGCACAAACAATTAAGATGAGTCCACTGCACTAAGTGGGTATTTCCAGGTATGCACATGGGCTGCTTACCAAAAGGCTCTCTGTAAAAAAGTTGATATTGGAAGGCTGAAATCTTTCTGTAATCCTTATGATTGCCTTTAGTGGTAGGTGTGTAACAAATTTCTCTAGCTAAGGTTTATTTGGCAAGTTGAAATTCTGAAAGCATCAAGTGACTTCAACAATTGTGTGTTCCCTAATTGTTTCCCAGTGCAGATGATGAAATGCATTTTATAAATAACATTTTAGATTTTTTTAATAAAAGAAATTTCTACCCCTTGGATCTGTCTTCTTTCACTTTCTCAAGTAAGTTCTGGCTTCCTCAGATTCCTTTGAAATGTAGAAGATGAGGTTGTGTTCAGCTGTGAGAGAGTTTCTACTTCTGTGTTGTCTTGAGGAGCTGCAAAGTCTGCAGAGCCTGAACAATTACAGCGTTTCATAAGTGTTTCAAAGCTGGCAAAAAGCAGAAGTGTGTCTCTTCCTTAAAATGGGAAGCTGCTGCTCAACTTCTTTCCAGTTTCTCCTGTGATACTGCCAGAGCAAGGAGGACAAGCAGGGCTGAGGGGAGCAGCTCCAGAAGGTGGTGCATGTGGGATTTTTGAGTGCTGTGGGCAATGAAGTGGAAGCAGAGCATAAGCAGGTCCATGTTCCTTCATGTGAAAAAAAATGATGGAGTCTTGGTCCCTTATGAGCCTCATTTTTCAGGTCTGCTCTGGTCCCCTACCTGTCCCCCTCTTCCTGTGAGTGGTCCCATAGGACAGGACTGGAACCCAATCCCTAAATACCAAGGAAGTTCAGGGAATTTTGGAGGAAGAAGGTGAGGGGAGTGAGGTGTGTGCCAAGCTGCAGAGGTACCACATGGCTTGCTTTGTGCTGGCTGGTGCCCTGATGTTTGGTGGGTTGAGTCAGTTCTGAACTCAGCCAAGTGGCCCTTCTTCATTTCCTAGAGTGAGTCTCCAGCATGACGTGTGTGAGGAGAGGAGAGGCTGCAGACCCTGGCTGATGTGCTTAAAGCAAAAGTGCCTTTCCCTGCCCACCCTAAGCCTGTTAGGGGATTTGCTTTGGAATGCTATTGCATGGAAACACAGCAGGAGCATTTCCTGCTGCTTCTGCCTCCACTGCACCCCCTTTTCTGAAGTTATTTCTCCTGAAAGAGAAGGAATGGCTTTGCTGACACTAGTCCAGCATTTTCTTTTCTCTCAGGCTTTGCCATTGTTCAGTCTGTGGCTCTCCCAGCTGCAGTCTGAAGGCAGCTGGAAGTAAGCACAGAAAGCCCTCCTCAAATAAAAGTAAAGTAGAAATTACCACACACTGATGCCTCGCCTCAGACTGTTTTCTCTGGACCTTGCAAAAGGGAAAGGTTCCTGAGGTACTAAAGGCTACCTCTCCTAGCCTGTGTGCCTAAAACTTTCTCTTGGGCAAGAAATTAAGATTGTACTTGATACACCAGGTGTCAATTTTAAACTAATAAAACAGGGCTGTACCCAGGAACTTTATTCAGTTTGTTGGAATTTTTTAAGCAGTTGATAGGGATCTTAAGAGAAAATTGATTACATTGGTTGTGCTGGTATGAAATTTCAAGAGCTTCTGGAATGGCAATAAAAATGGAAATGACTATTTATGTGGCCTACAGAAGCAGATATGTTTAACTGACACTTCAAGTAAGTGTACATAACCTGTCCTGCTGCTGTAATTAGTATGGAGGTTTACATTAATATTTACTAGCAAAGAGGCAGTTCCACCTGACTGCATTTTTTGGGATTCTTTCACAATGGGATTTTGTAATGATCAGTTAAATATATGAGGTGGGTTTCAGTTTTTCAGAAATCACAAGAGGAAAACTGACGTAATGGGGCACATTTATTGCCTCAAGAACTACCTAAGTATACACAGGGATGTGCATATCCTAAAAATCAGCCCCAAGTGACATCTGTCTCTGTGTCCACACAACAAGCATTGTTTTTTTCCTGAATGTGTAATCATAGTAAGAATTATTAACTAAATGAGCATAATGTCAGAGCAACTTAGTTCAATTAAAACCAGCATGTCAACAAGATTTATTTTTCAATCAGTCTTTACTAATGCAACAGTTTTAACATACACCATGAAAATCCTTGCTTCATTCCCTTGTGCCAATGCCAATATGATAAAAGTGATTCATATAAAATCTGAATTTTATGAAACCTGATCAATGTATACAGATTGTAGCAGTAGTGAAGAGCAATGCTGTGAGGAGCTCTAGAGTAAGTCAGTTGTTTTATATGGAGTATAAAATATTGCACCTATATATGCATATATTATATATATATATATATATAATGCAGAGATTCCTTGAGCATTCCTTCAGAATTCACTCAGTAGTTTTCATTATCTTATCCCAGCCTCTGCAGCCATTTCAGAAAAGGCACTTTCTTGTAGTAACAAATTCTGTGGTGTATCATATTCTAGAATCCTTCCTGCATCCAGAACAAGAACTCTACAAGAGCAGAAAGATTACAGAAGACAAATCAGCTCCTCAGCCACATTTTCCAGTCCTAGTACAGGTATCTCTGGATTATGGGAATGCATTTCAAGGAAGTAATTTAGTTTTCAAATGGCTTATCAAAACTTACCTTTCTGAATCCATGACTCTGTGTAACCTGTGGGCTATAGTTAACACTGTGCAGTTGTGAAACTCTGTTTTGATGGTGGAGTGCACAAATTTATCTGTTTCTATGTCAACAGAAGCTCATCTAGGACCTGGATTTTTGTCTTTCACAGCAAAGCACAGGCCAGACAGACCTGCTGTCTCTGCCCAACACTGTTAAAAATACATTTGAAAAGGGCAAGTCAGGCATGTGGAGAAAAGGGAGCACAAAATAAAGCTGAGATTACTGTGATGCATGTCTGTACTTCTTTCCTAACAACACCTTTGCTTCTGAAAAGACCACTGAAATATGTTCATCCTGCTTTGGAATTTTCTTTCCTCTTGCTCAGTGTATCAATAGTAGTTAAGGTAGGACTCTTCTACACTTATGGCTGAACTTTGAATTTTAAACCCAGTCTTCAGTTTCTATATTCACATTATAATGGGCACTCAGAATGAGCCAGATTGAATGCTGAACCACTTTTTAATAATGTTCAGTGTAAAAATCTGGATACTTCTGTATGTTAGCTGAACTATGTCCTTCTAGAAATGTCCTCCTGAAAATGATCTATCAGAAAAATTCAGGTTGATACTCAGTACATTATTCAAGACCTGTCCCTTTGCTGCTGCTATCTTCAATATTTGTCTCCTCAGTTTAGAGTTCTTTTAAGTGTCACCCTCCTGGCATAACTATGGTTTAATGTTTTAAAGTTAAAACTGAGTTGCTGTGCCTAAGCAAATAGAACAGAAGAATAAGCTCTCTGCATTTTCATGGATTTCACATTTGTTGAGGTTTTTTTTGGTTGATTGTTTCGTGGTGTTGTTGTTGGGTGTTTTTTTTTTTTGTTGTTGTCTGTTTTTATTTTGTTGGATTTGTTTTATTTTTCTGGTTTGATTTATTTTTTTTTTTAATTTAAATAAATGAACATTTTTCTACCCAAGTCTAATCAGGTGCTGCATGAATTGCAACACCACTCCCCCACTTCTTTACACTTACTTATATACTTGAGCTGAAAATAGTCCTTGGCTTCCCATACAACCCAGGCCATCAGAATTTATACCACTGTGACCAGTTGGTCACCTCAAAGTAACTTGCACTACCAGAATAGTTCTACCAATAATGACAGGAGATGTGTCATTTCTATCCTGATACCTTCTGAAGTAAATTCTCTGGAAGGACATAGTTTTACAGTACTGAAAAATAATGGCATTAGCACTTTCTTGATTATGTACCTAATATTTTCAACACCTTCTGAAATCTCATGGAGGAGCTTCTTCAGTGACTGGACAAAATCCTTTAAGTCACGTAGCTCCAACACTTCCTACAGTTCAAGATGAGTGTTTTCCAAGTGGATCCAGATTTGACTGCAGTGTCCCAGAAAACAAGATGGGGTCCTAAATTAGCAGCAGAATGTGAATGCACAATTCCACCATAATCCTAAAAGAAGTCCTTACATTAACAGAAGCAACTGAGACAAATAATCTTTGAAATGGATCTTTGCAAGGGAAATTGTAACAGTTTGAAACTGGTGAATGGGAGGACAAAAATTGTGTGCAGTCTCTGTGAGCTCAGTTCTACATATTATTCTCAAATAAAAATCCCACAAACCTCAGTAAAAGTTTAATAACTATACCTGCTACCACCACTCACCAATATGAAAGTCAATCTAATTGGTCATTTTCTCTGCACAGAAATTAAATGAATGTTCAGCATTTGGGATGAATGCTCACCTCTTTATCAACTGTTGCATATTCACAAATTCCTTCAATTGAAAGTGCATTGGTCTCAATTTCACATGCTCTATACACTTAAACATCTAGAATCTGGATCACCTGGGGAAATACATACAAAAATAGGAACAACAAATTTGACTGTACTAGAACACAGCACATTAGTTCAAAAACTTACCCAAACTTAAACAACTCATAAGCTGCATGCTTAATGACAGAGGCTAAAAATTGGACAGAACATGTTGGCACATCACATGAACCAATGGTTAGAAAATCCCTGTTCTCAGTGCTCCTCTGAGCAGCTCTTGCTTTCACACTGCACAATGGCTGTTGTAATTTGCACTGATATAAAAGCTCCAAATATCAGAAACTACATCAGGGTCATCAGCAAGTGTGCACTATTTGTATGAAATGTTGAAAGGAAAAGTTTATGGTTCATGGTGTGATGAATCAATCACTGCACTATTCCCTAGGTAAAACAAGCCAGTAATGTAGAACAATGGTTTTGTAATGGAGGTATATATTGTCTCTGCCAAATTTGTCACCTTCAAGCACTGGGGATGCTTCTGCAGACAGAATCATCATAGAATGGCCTGGGTTAGAAGAGACCCCAAAGATCACCTAGTTCCAAACCCCTATGGTACCAATTCCATGGTTAAATATTCCCACTTCTGTAGGAAAAAGAGCAAGCCAAACGGATTCTAAAGAACCGTATCAGCTGGACAACAGATGAAGGTGGAAAACTCTGACTGTCATCACCCAGTACAGTATGAGACAAAGGAACTCTTGTGAGCTGGGTGGGGTGTGGATATGCCATGACAGATAATTGTCTCTATGGGTTTTATTTTCATTTCTATTCATTCAAATCTCTCAGCTGTGTTTCTGAAGCTCTTACTCAGCTGTGTTTCTGAAGCTCTTACCACGGTGAGAATCTGGACAACACTGGCTCCTAAGCATCACAAAATTAAAGAAAATTTGATTCTTAGTTTATGTCTACGTAATACTTAAGATTTATTCTAACTATTCATCAATAAAACTTAGCTTACTTAAGACACACTTTGAATATGTAGTTCTCATCTATCACCTTTGCAAGGGCAATGCCAAAGTAAATGATATTACTGATCTTTTAACTAAACACTCCTAGATAACATTCAGTAAGTGAACATAGAAAAGGAATTAAATATGAAGTACAGTTGTGCATGACTATGCCACTTCTTTGGTTTAACCAAACACTTAAACCTACTCAACTTCATTGTAATTCTTTTCATATGCAATGTGGTAACAGCAAAATGTTTATACGATTACTTACATTTAGAGTATAGGATATTGATAAACCCACTGTAGAAGAACTCACTGTATTTCCATACAGTGCTACAAACAATTCAGCAAAGAACACCATTAAATTTCCCAAAAACTCAAGCCTGACAGATAGCCACCTGTAAATCAAGGCAAAGAAAAAAATGGAATTACTCACCAATATTTTTATAGCCTCTTGAGCTCTGAGATCATTATATTACGAATTTACCCACTTCACAAAAGAGATAAGTACTATCATTCCCATTTTACAGATGAGCTAGGTGGGCAATATGACATATCTGGAACTGGTAGCACTACTAAAACCATAATGCATGCATTAACTCCCTTCACTCCTCATACTGCTTTCCTGCTCCTCCTATCTAAAAAAGATTCAGGTATAGGGCTGAAAAACAGACCAGGAATCTATTAGCTCCTCTGTGACTGTAACTGCACTGAATCACAAAGGAATGCGAGGAAACAGATTTTATTTCTTTAAACCCGAGATTCCACTCTCAAGAACTCCCTGGTGCCTGTGAGTACAGACACCAGGTTACTTCCACATGAACTACTGAAATATAAATTCAATTTGTTCATAAATTTGCAAGAGGAACTGTTAGTTGAAATGTAGCATAGTCCATGCTTATGACCTATTGGTAAACTTTTTTTTTCTTTTTTTGTTTAAATATTCTCATCCCAGACAGCATATGTATATTTTCTATATACCTCCCAGTTTCTGGTAGATAAATACAAAATCTGTGAATTCAGTGCAAAGAGTGGTGGATAAATTGCTCTTGTCACAGAACCACAGAAGGTGCCGAGTTGGAAGGGATCCACATGGATCATCGAGTCCAACTTCTGCACACAGGACCATCCCCAAGAGTCCCCCTGTGTGCCTGAGAGTATTGTCCAAACACTTCTCTGTTTCTCAGTGGCTTTACTCTGACTAAAGCTAAACATTGATTTGTGGAATTCCACAGAAGAAGATTTACTTACAAATGCAAACCTGCTCTCAAGTACCTATTTGAGATGAGATTGTTGTAGAACCAAATCAAGTTCTCATACACAGCATCATACACATCTCATACACAACAAAACAGTTATCTTTCCTAATGAATCTCTCCTGGGAGCCAAATGCTTGAATTGTTGATCTCCCTGCCAGAGCCTCACTGAAGGAGAAGGTCACTGGAGACTGTGGTGCTCCTGCCAGCTGGATTTGCTGAGAACTCGTGATGTAGTAGCACTTATAGAACAACACAGACAGGTTCCAGTTAAGGATTCTGATAGGTTATCCCTGTAAATTTTCAATATGGAAAAGAACTGGAAGTGTCTACACAGAAAAAAGTATTCACAACAGAAAAAAATCCTACAGTCTCTTGGGACACACTAACATTGTAATGATGACATAAGTGCAGTATATAAATTACTGGCAAGGTTAAAAAAAATAGCATTATCTCCAAATTCTATAAAAAATGTGCTGTACCACAAGAGGTATGTAACAACCAACTAAAACTTCAATGTATCTTTCAAGTTAAAATGTCCTGCATCTTTCTCAGATGCAATCATACTATTTCTTCAGTGTAATGATGTCTGAATTTCAACTCCTTAGCAGGGTGAGAAAAAGGTGTTTGGTCCACGAGTGGCACAAGGCAGAGGAGAAAGCAAGGTGCACTGGGGGTGTGATGGGAGGGAAGGCAGGCACTGGGCAGCTCCCAGTGGGATGCAGCAGGTGGGGGTCTGGTGAGCATGTTGGCTACAGCTCGAGTAACACCTAGGGGGTGCATGTTTTGTCCCTGTAGTAATCTGATCTTGGTTGGGCACCATGTGCCCACCAAACTCTGCTATCACTCCCCTTCCCAGCAGGACAAGGGAAAGAAAAATAAGATGGAAAAGAACTAGTAGGTTGAGATGAGGCAATTTTCTAAAGCAAAAAAGGAAAAGTTTATGTGTGCAGAAGCAAAGAGAAAAGTTAATCTCTGCTTCCCATCAGCAAGTGATGTTAAGACACTTCCTGGGAAGCAACATGGGGTGGCTGCTCCAAAAGGCAAACACTAAAATAATGAATGTCCTCTGTTCCTCCTACATCCCTCAGCTTTTATATCTGAGCTGACATCACATGTTGTGGAATATCCCTTTGGGTAATTTGGGTCAGTTGGCCTCATTGTGTCCCCTCCCAGGATCTCGTCCACTCCCAGACCCTTGCTGATGGGCGAGTATTTAGAGTTCATTTTCTCTTAGAAGCTTTCACAGTGCTATGCTTTGCATGGGTAGCTGGAAAGGTGTTGATAACACAGCAGTGTTTTGGCTACTGCTGAGCAGCACTAGCTCTCTGTCTCAGAGCCAGTACAGCCTCCCTGCTCTTTTATCCAACTGTTTTTCCTTCCCTCCTGTGGGAGGTGGCCCAATTCCCTGACACCAGCACAAGGGGCAGGACCTGGCCCCCAACACCACCGGGTCCCTGTGAGTGGCCGGGAGGGAGCACCACAGTGGGTAAGAGATGTTGCTGGTGGGGACAGGAACCCCTGTGGGGTCACCGATGGCCACAGGGTAGAGGCAAATACCCCTCATGGAATTACAGGTACTCCAGGGGATCACAGATGCCCCATGGAGGGGGGACCAGATGCCCTGGGGGAGAGCAGTCACCTGTGGCTCGGGAGGGACAGAAACTCTCCAGTGTGGGACATGCCTCGAGGAGGGAGGGAGGGAGGGAAGATACCCTGGAAGATGCAGATACTTCCAAGATCACCCATGATGGGGGGACCGGACATGCCCCGGGGGTCACAGGTACCCTGAGGAGGGGGGAAGACCAGTGGGGTCGCAGATACCGCCCTCACAGCACAGATGACAGAGACCCCCAGCCATGGATGCCAGCTGCCCCCAAAGNCTGCGGCCGGCGCCGGCCTGGCGCTGCTGCCGGTGTTCCTGCCATGTCCACGCTGTTCCCCTCGCTCCTGCCCCGCCTCACCGAGTCCCTCTGGTTCAACCTCGACCGGCCGTGCGTTGACGAGACCGAGCTGCAGCAGCAGGAGCAGCAGCACCAGGCCTGGGTGGGCACCGGGGTGGGGGTTCGCCCGTGTCCCGGCACACGGGGCTCCTCCGGTGCATCGCTCCCCCGCCTGTTCACCGGCCGTGCCCGTGCTTCAGCGTTTGAAATGGAAAAATTAAGAATTAGGAATCAGGCATAACGAAATGTTTTGACTAGAAGAGGGGGCTGCCGAAACCGTATGGAATGCTTACTGCTCCCACAAGAGCAGGAAGAGAGCAAGACTACAAGATAAAGAGCTAGGATGCACAAACAGGATGCAAGGACAAAGGCACCACAGGATAAGGGGATTCTTTGGACCCCTAAGCCGGGAGAAATGGTATCAAAGTCCAAAAGGCGGTCAAAGGACTAAAAGGAGCATGTTCAAGGAGAAAAGGTGAAGAGTTCAACTGAGGAGGAATCGCTGACTTCATCCCAAAGACCCCCAGACCACCAGAATGGCCAACAATGAGCCATGCGCAGTCACAGAGAGGCGTGGAGCTAATTTTAATATCAAGTGGGGATAGGCAGAGTTAGGAAATGAATATGTATTAGGTGTATTGTGTAACCCTGGTTTGTAGAGAATAAAAGGAGAGGGGCAAGTGTCCAGGGTGTGCATGTTTTTGGAGGGGATACCCCCATGCACCTCAGCGCTGAATAAATACAAACCTACTCTTATAACTTACTCTGTGGCTCATAGATTTTTCTTTCCACATACCACATCCTGTGCCGGTGTTGCCGGCTCGGGCACCGCTGCTCTCATGTCCATCATCCGTGTGTCACACCGGCTCGGGCAGGCTGTTACCGGAGCTCCCTGTTTGTGGTGTGGGGGTTAATTAATAACCTGCTGCTGAACCGAGGCTCCCGCATCAGCTCCCAATTAATGAATTAACTAATCTCCCGAGGGAGGCGAGGAGCGATTTCTGATCCTGGTAAGTGACAAGTGTTTGTGCTGTGAGCCTGGTTTGGTGCTGCAGTGCCCCTGAGTATGGGGGGAAGAACAGTTCATCCAGCTGATCAGATGTCTCAGATTTGGCTCTTTTTTGATAAAGAAATGCATAAGCTTTGTGTCTGAGCTCCTCCTGCCACACAAGGGGACACCTGGAACCCTCTCAGCCCCAGAGTGGCATTGGGACCCTGCCTGGAGCCAGGGTGCTCAGGCAGGTGTCTGTAGCTGCTCTTCCCTGCTTGGCTGGGGGCTGCCAGGGAGGCAGCAGGGCTCGGGCTGCAATTAGACGTGGTCAGGAAGCGACACAAGGCAGCAGCTGAGCCCAAAGGGCCCTGTTTGCTGGGGTACCATGGAGCTGTCGGGGTGCTCACCCGCCTCTCTCCCTTCCCCAGCTCCAGAGCATTGCTGAAAAGGACAACAACTTGGTGCCCATAGGAAAGCCAGCGTGCGAGGTGGGTGTGTGGGCAGGGAAGTGAGGGGTTGCCACAGGGCTTGAGGGGCAGAGGGGGTTGCTGGAGCTGTTATGTCCACAGCACTATGATGAGGAGGAGGAGGAGGATGACGAAGATGATGAAGACAGTGAAGAGGACTCAGAAGATGATGAGGACATGCAGGACATGGATGAGATGAATGATTATAATGAGTCTCCTGATGATGGGGAGATTGTCCTGGGTTGCAGTATATTCTATCACCATCCTCATGTACTGTTGAAACCAGGTGAGGCAGTGCTCCCTGCCTCCCCCCCCC